TGGGGTGGTTTGGGGTGGAGATGTACAGCTGAGTGTCATCAGCGTACAGATGGCATCGCACCCCAAATCCACGGATGATCTCACCCAGCGGCTTCACATAAATGTTGAACAGGAGTGGCGAGAGGACCGACCCTTGTGGCACCCCACAAACAAGGCACCTCGAGGTCGACCTTTGCCCCCCTGCCAACACAGACTGCGACCGGTCGGAGAGATAGGAGGAGAACCACCACAACACGGTGCCTCCCACCCCCAGTCCCTCCAGCCGGTGCAGCATGATACCATGGTCGATGGTATCAAAAGCCGCTGAGAGATCTAATAGGACCAGAACAGAGGAGCAACCCCTGTCCCGAGCCCTCCAGAGATCATCAACCAACGCGACCAATGCCGTTTCCGTGCTGTACCCAGGCCTGAAGCCGGACTGGCACGGGTCTAGATAGACAGTTTCATAATGGAATTAACATACACACAAGAGAAGAAGGTGGAGTATCTTATCCCTGGCACACATTCCAAGACTTGGAACTGCAGCTTCAACTTTGTGAGGTTGGAGTTTAGTGGAGTTCATTTTTCTTTTTTCAGCAGAAGCTAATGGCCAACCACAAACAATTTCTCTTTTGAAAACAAAAACAACATTCAGACACACATTGAGAAGAAACAGTCTCTTCATTTCCACCTTTCCAACAGGCCTCATAACATTGTCTTTGTGAACTAGGGACCAATAAGTTGAGGTAACCAACTATCCAACTGTGTTGCCCAAGCATCCAGTTGTAGGAAAATTGAAGGGGGGGAAATGATATAAAAAAAGTGATCCATTACTTATGAAACTGCTTTCTTGCTTTTTAAAAAATGCCTTCAAGTAAACCGTATATGATTTGCTTGGTTCTACTTGGATAGGCAGTGGCAGTCTAAGGCAGAGAAGGTTTTCCCAGATCGATAGCTAAAAATGTCAGGACCGGTCCTGGAATTTTTGTTTTCAAGGCTGTGTTTCAGTTACAGACTAAACTATGTTGTATTTAACAGTTTATTGAAAAACCATGTGTGGTTGAGTTCACACAACTTACTATCCTCCAAAAAACCCCCACTAAATATTTAACATGGAAGCATAATGAACATAGGTTGGATTCACATCGGATAAAATGGGAATGGGCAAGTTCTATCTCAGTGTGTGGCATGAACCCATAAATTAGTTAATTCCATAAACCTTAGTTAACCATGAAAAACCCTGCAGTATACATATAACTATTGAGTATAATATCAGTTGCTGATATCTCAGTTACTTGAAAAAAAAATACTTTAAACTTGTACAGAAAAGGATAGTCAAGATTTCTCTACCCTGTGGATGGAAAATTAAAGTATCTTTTTTATTTTTAGTTTAGATAGGGGCTACTGGAAAACAGGTAATAAAATTACTTAAAGATGTGAAGAAAGTTGCCATGAAGAACAAGAAGAACATTATAGAACAAGATTTGCTGTGAAAGACTTGTTCACATAAAACATAAGCAGTTCATGAGGTCTGGTAAAACAGCCCATAAGATATAGTGATAACCGTCAGCTGTGAAATATCATTAGACAACACTATGAAGAACGAGAAGTCTATCACTGAGCAAGCGAGTGTAAGAAATTATCATTTGTCAACAGAGTTCAAGAATAGGAATAGAGAAGAAAAACAAAAAAATGGACCAGAACAGTTCTATATGTAGCTGCACCAGGAACAGGGTGCAGGGAAATTATTTGTTTGTTCTGTTATTTATATAGCTACGTATCTCACATAAGTGACTCTGGGTGACTTACATAATAATTAAAAAAAAAATAACTGTCAACAAAGCCAAGAGACGGCTACCATCACATTCTTGGGGGCCCAGGCCATAACCCAAAACCAAGGTTTTAGAGCCTTGCAAATGGCCAGCACAGTCAGAACTAATTTAATCTCAAGTGGCATGATGTTCCAAAGGATGGGCATTGTGATAGAAAAAGCATTTCTCCTGGGCCCCACTAATCAACACATCTTAGTTGGTAGCACTGAGAGCAGCACCAGCCAGACTCAATGGGATGGGTAGAAATAAATGCATACAAACAAGAAATGAATTGTGATAATTATTGATTCTCCATTGTGGATAACTGACTGCTTGTTGCTGAGTAAGCAGATGTTGTTGCAGAGGAAGATCACAAGGCAGCCAGTTTCCAGAGAAATGTTAACAGAACCTTGGCCGAAAAGTTCAACAGGAAAGTTTGACAGACAGATCCCTAATAAATTTTCCTGCTGAGTTGACTATGCTTTTGGCAGACGTAAGAGCTTAAAAAGTAGAAACAAAAGCATGTCTATTGGTAGTGCCTTAAGAAACAGAAGAGAAGACAGGATTGCAGTTGTTGACTTTTATTCTTATATAGTGTTTGTTTTCTAGCAGGAAACAATGGGATCTGCAGGAATAGCTCAAAAAGTAACATCATGATCCAAGTCCTTTGTGCATTCCTGTGATGTTGACACATGTAGAAAAGGGGCAGGGCTCAGATCACAATGTTTCATCTGCCATGTTGCCCAGTGTCTCTTATAGACACTGTTGGAAGGATGATAACCTGGCATATATTTTCTGCAATTGCAATTGTAGGTTACTTGTAGAACAAGGCAAAACATTGAAACAACAAATGGTTGTATATCAGTTCAAAGGAGGATTTAAAGGTTCATCAGATCAAACAAAGGAGGCATTACAATAAATGCTGAGGGAAGAAACAACTATATATAAGGAAAAACAAGATATATGAAGCAAAAGACATGAAAATTATTCTGAGCTGCTGGTAATCAAAAACAGCCTTGAGGTCTTCATACACAGATAATGCCCCTCGCTCTCCCCCCACTCCCTAAAGAAAACAGTCTGTGAGTCTTCAGGTAAAGAAAAGGAGAACACACTATTGAATAAGAGATCATTGTATGGGTTAAGAAGAATACTTCAGGTATTCTAGCTACACAAATAGTGTCATCGGAAGAAAGCTTACAGGTCATGAGTCTGAGTTGGGTTTCATCTCAGAAGTTCCAGTTAACACGTATTTGACAAAGCATGAAAAGGTTGATCTGAATTCTATGAAGGATGGAGACAAAATCTTAAGAGAATCATTCCAGAAAAAGACTTACATTGTAGAAAGCATTGCTTCAATGGAGCCTACTAGACCATTTAATGAAAATTCAGAAATAACATTGGCTTCAAGACCTTTATGTCTAAACACTAATGGTAAGAATATGGAAAGCTGATGAGCCTGAACCCTTTATACAAGAAGGAAAATATGATTCAGTAAATATATTGGAAACCTGGTGAGAGAATTCTGATGACTGGACTATAACCATTGAAGGACATAATTTGTTCAAAGGGAAAAGTTATAATAGAAATAAAGGAATATTTGCGATATATGTTAAATCTATTCAGAAATCCAAGTGAATGAATATAGTGGTACTGATGGAATTAAACATCAGTAAATCTGAAATTTGTACCAGGGAAGATTCTAGAGTAGATCTTTAGAGTAGAGAAGTTGAACCATTGAAAATAATTGGGTAATTATCCAGAGATCAAAATATTGCCATATTAAGCTTACCATGTTTTTTTTTAATGAATAAACTACCACAGTAGGTGATGGAAATGTGACACATAGTTTATGCTATGTTTTTGGCAAAACATCTGTCAAATGTATCTGTCATATTGTATCTAGCTTGGCATATCATTTAAATTAATATTCATCAATGTTTCCCTAACAAACATGAGTGGTACTGAATGGGCTACCATTCCTGGTTCTTGGAGTCTTTAATATTTTTATTAATGCCTTGGAATAGAAAGTGGAGGGAAATTGTAAATGACAAAAAGGCTGGCTAATACTAAATACCACTAATAAAAATAAAATTAAAAACTTTGTTGATAGGTTAGAAAAATGGGCTGAAAGTCACCGAATCAAACTTTACTAAAACAAATGCAAAGTTCTTCACTTAAGAAATCAAGTCCAGAAATATAAGATCGTGGTTACTGAGCTTAGTAATAATCCTTGTGAAACAGATCTTGGATGAGTATTTGATCGTGAGTGAGCCATATGGTGTGGCTGCAAAACGAGCAAATGCAGTTTATTCCTAAATCAACGGGAATACAGATGTAAAATCACAGGGGGACTTAGCTTCAATTGACAATGTGGTAGTCAGATTTCAATGAGCGTTGTGTTCAATACTGAACAATAAGTAAAATCCAGACTTTTCTGAACAGGTTGAACAAGTTCAGAAAAGAGGGAGAAGAATAATCAGGTTCCATGGAGTCTGTAGAAACTAGGAATATTTGAAAAGATTGGATTGAGGGATATAGCACCCTTCAAAAGGCTACCACAGGGAAGAAGATTAAGACCTGCTCTACTCCCTAGAACAGAGGTCTCCAACCTTGGAATTCTCCGGGAGAATTCCGGAATTCTGGGAGTTGAAGTCCACCAGGCTTAAAGTTGCCAAAGTTGGAGACCCCTGCCCTAGAATGTAGAAAAAGAAACAATACATTTAATTTTCCAGGAAGATTGTTAAAAAAACCCAAAAAACCTCTTAACATACAGAACAGTAGAACAGAGTATGTGTTGGAGAATGAACCTTTGCCATACTACTGTCTAAGGGAAAAAGTTAGGTAGCCATATATTGAGACCCTTTACTGTAATGTGGACATTTGCCACTGAGCAGAAGATTCATGGCCAACCCCATGAATCAATCAATGATACTTATGGAACCTTCATTTCAGAGACAAAGCACCACTGATTGGTAACTGACCCGATAAGCACCAACTTTTGTTTCATGCGTTGCTTATAGGCATCCAATTCATGGGGAGAAGGAAATCGCTTGTATTGAATGGAGGCGCTAGGACCCAGAACATTTTCGAGAAAGACCAGACCTATCGTCTCTGGTTTGAAAGAGATCGCTGTGAACCGCCGGGGGCGTGGCCCAATGAGTTCCTACACAGCGGGGAGGTGTGGCCTGCGGGAGGGCGTGGCTTGTGTTATGATTTTTTTTTTTTCCCTTAAGCGAGAGTACAATACGGTCCTGTAAACTGCTTCAGAGCGTCTGGTCTGCGGCCTCGGAGAGCCATGGAGAGGAAGCGGCCGCTAGTAGTCTTGTTCGACCTGGGCGGCGTCCTTCTGGATGGCAGTCAAACACTTTTCCGAACTCTGGAGAAGACTGTGGGCTTGCCTGGGTGGGTAATCGAAGGGAGTAGAAGTGGTGATTGTGGGGGGGAGGGGTGTCTGCGTGCCCGTCCGATTCTCTTTCTGTGTCTTTACCTACGACGTCTTTAGCAGTGCGTGTGGTGCGCCCGCCCGCAGTTATGGTGCAAAACTTAATTTCTGCAAGTGCAGTTGGCTGAATAAAACATAAACGCCCGTGGCGCTTTCTCCATGTACTACAAGGCAGGGAGGAAAAACTTTGCTGTGGACGATCGACTTTCACTGAGTATACGCAAATGGGTTTTCGAATGGCTATTTATTCAAAAGCTCCAAGTGTTAAGACACTGACAACGTTAAGTTCAGTGTGAACTTCACCAAAGTCTCTGGGTGAATGGCGATTTTGAGTGTAGCAATACGAATTTACAGAGCCGGATCAATGGATATTTTATCCATTGATCTGCAGCATTGAGAGAACCAATGTATGCAAGTTCTTCGGGATTTTGAGGAGTTTTAAAATAGGGGAGAGGAATTCCGATGCCGTCTTGCAGTTAGGATTATTATTATTAAGCTCAATGTAAGCAAAGGCGTTGTAGCAGGTAATTGTTATTTTTATAGTGTCACTGATGTGTGTGATGCATTATCCAGAACAGGGAAACAAATCCACGTGTCGGAGAACTTACTACTGCTAGAAATTATGTATGGAAAATGAGAAGAAAAGTAAACCAAGAAATAATGCACAATGTTTGTACTTGTGATTTGTCATGACAGACTGTTCACTAATTTATTTAAGACTTATATGCTGCTTTTTATTGTAAAAAATACAATAAAGCAGTTTACAACCATTATAAAAGCGGTTGATTGAAAAGACAATTATATATTTAAGTTACTGCTTTGGAATATTTTCAATATCTAGCAAATAATTCTGATTTTGTGAACCCCTGAGAGGCTCTAGGGAGACCCTCGGAGCTCCTTGGACCATGCTTTACAAAACATGGGATGTACTTTAAAATATCTGGTGCCAGTTTCAGAACTTTCTAAGCTAGTTAATAATTATTATTTCTCCTGTATATTGATTCCCACAGCTTATTTTATTAGCATTATGGTAATCAAGGCAGGTTTTATAGTATTGCAAAACCATCAGAGTTTGGTTAATACTTTCCTGATACATAATGCACTAGTTGTTGCTTTTCCCATGGGTATTATGTATAACAGCTCAGTTTGGTAGAACATTATTATCCTTATAATAATGCATAAGAGTCAGATCTGCCTAAGACAGGTGAAATCCAGCAGGTTCTGACAGGTTCTGGAGAACCGGTAGCGGACATTTTGAGCAGTTCGGAGAACTGGTAGCGGAAATTTTGAGTAGTTCGGAGAACCGGCAAATACCACCTCTGGCTGGCCCCAGAGTGGGATGGGAATGGAGAGTTTGCAGTATCCTTCCCCTGGAGTAGGGTAGGAATGGAGATTTTGCAGTATCCTTCCCCTTCCATGCCCACCAAGCCATGCCCACAGAACCGGTAGTAAAAAAAATTCGATTTCACCACTGGCCTAAGAAGAGATGACATTGGAAATTGGGGCTTGAAATTCAATGACCCTAACCCTACATTGGTCTCCTAAGCAATAAGCTCTACCAGAGTTTACTGTAGGATTTCTGTATGTAAACGACTCTTTTTACCAAGAGGGCTTATGAACAGCTTTCCTATCCTGAAAAAGTAAGAATAAAGTAAATTGAAACTAGATAATTGCAGGCTGCTTTAAGACAAAAAAAAAAGTCCATTCATAGTACAGGTGGAGGCAGAATTTCCCATTCAGAACAGATTTACTTTAATTGGCTTCATCTAAATTCCTTCCAAAGAAATATGGCCGTCTTAATAATCCAATAGAGACAAATCAAAGATATATTTTTCTAGCTTAACATAAAGCGTGTGATCATAAGGATATTAAAGAATTGTATGAACTTGTTCCACATTGAGAATAGGATCCTCAGAGTAAATTAATAAATCAGCCAAATAAATTATTAAAAAGTTATTCAAAAGAACATAAAAATATTCGTAAATCACATGAAGACCTAGACAATTTTTTACTAACCCATAATTCATTGCTGTAATGGGTATTCAAATTTCCCATAATAAGAGTTGAAAGCAGTTATACATTAACGATCCTCTTTAATGCAAATTATCAAGAACCAACCGAAGGCGTTGAGGAGAAGTTTTCTTGGGACCAACCAAAAATAGCACATTCATTACATTTATATATTTATATTTCATATTTCTTAACTGTCCATCTCCCTCAGAATTTTTTATTTTTTTCATTTATTTTTATTTTTTACTTTATTTGCTGCCTATCTCGCTTGATTTGCCCCTCTTGAGGAAAACTGCAGAGATATAAATTATGAAAACTTCTGGAGGAATCAACAGCTGTCTTCCTGTTTTGTTTTTTACCCATATTTCATAAGGAGCACAGGAACCAACTCCATTTTGTATGATAAAAATTGGCATATACAGATAGTCCTTGACTTACACAGTTCTTACAAGAACTTTGGCAATAAAGGTCATAAAATGAGGCAAAACTTATTTAACAAATGTCTCACTTAGCAACATAATTTTTGGGCTCAATTGTGGTCGTAAGTCAAGGACTACCTGTATTAATGTTAGTCTCAGAATAATAGCATGTCAGAAAGATGGTTAAACTGGACTAGGCTAGATTAGACTAGTCCTCATACTTTCTGAAGGGATGAAGCAGTTTGCAGAAATTATAGAGAATCTTCCTTACATGATAGGTTTTAGGCATAGCTTATCCTATTCAAAGATTATTCTGAGGTTTTGAGATTGAAAACCCATGTATATATATTGTATTATATCTGGATGCCTGATTAGAAGAAAAAAACCTGGAATCTGGAGGGGCCAATGCAAACTCATAGGACAACAAGTAAGGCTTAAATGTGTAGACACATTTTTAAATTACAGGTACTCCTCGAGTTATGACCACAGTTGAGCCCAAAATTTATGTTGCTAAGTGAGACATTTGTTAAGTGAGTTTTGCCCCATTTTACAAATTTCCTGGCTATAGTTGTTAAAGTGAATCATTGCATTTGTTAAGTTAGTAACACGGTTGTTAAGTGAATCTGGATTCCCCATTGACTTTGCTTGTCAGAAGGTCGCAAAAGCTGATCACATGACCCCGGGACACTCTAATTGTCATAAATATGAACCAGTTGCCAAGCATCTGAATTTTGATCACATTGCCATGGGGATGCTGCAACGGTCATAAGTGTGAAAAACAATAATAAATCACTGTTTTCAGTGCTGCTGTAATTTTGAATGGTCACTAAATGAACTGTTGTAAGTCGAGGACCACCTGTATTATTGTAAATTGAAAATATGGAACTAGAGGAATGGCTGGGCAGAAAGAAGTTGGAACTACTGACCAGTGTGGTAATGAGTTCTAACTACTGTTTTCTTATCTAAAAGGTTTTGCAAATTAATGTGGCAATCCTACATTCAGAATGTGAACAAAATATGTATCTATGAAACACTTGGAATTCTGCCTTCTCCCTTCAACCCCTGGTTCCCAAAAAATCTGAGCGTTTTTTAAAATCTTGGCAAAAATGCAGGCTTTATACAGATAGTCCTCAATTTATAACCATTTGTTTAGCAACTCTTCAAATTGAATAGAATAGACCTGGAGGGGACCTTGGAAGTCTTCTAGTCCAGCTCCCTGCTCAAGGTGAAGAACCTATACTATTTCAGATAAATGGCTGTCCAGTCTCTTCTTAAAAACCTCCAGTGATGGAGCACCAGTGTCCCTTAAAGTTTCAGAGAAAAGTGACTTATGACCAGTCCTCACACTCACAACAACCACAATATCCCTGCAGTGATATGATCAGAATTTGGGCCTTTGGCAACAGGCATGCATTTATGATGGTTGCAACGATTTAGGGCAGTGTTGGCGAACCTTTTTGGCATGAGTGCCAAAACGGGAGCGCATGCACATGGGGAGCGCCAGATACCGGAAGAGCAGCTCCCCAGTGCATGCGCACACCGGGAAACTGACACTTTCCAGTTTCTGGCATGCACATGTGTGCCGGTCACCTGGTCTTCCAGTTTCTGGCATGCATGTACGCTCGAAGATCAGCTGGCCAGTGTGCATGTGCATACTGGAACCCAGAAGAGCAACGGAAGATGGCTGGTGTGCCCGGAGAGATGGCTCTGCGTGCCACTTCCGGCACGTGTGCCATAGGTTCGCCATCACGGATCTAGGGTTACAGGATCATCATTTGCAACCTTTTCAACCAGCTTCCGACAACCAAAGTCAATGGGGGAAGCTGGATTTGCTTAACAACTGCAGTGATTTGGCAAAAAGGTCCTAAAATCAGGTGCTACTCATTTAACAATCACTTCACTTAGCAATGGAGATTCTGATTGTGGGTGTAAATCAAGGACTATCTGTATATGTACAATTCACCATCATTTCTCTGTTAGTTATCCATGTTTTGTCTGTGCAAGGGCTTTTGTCAGGTTCATTCCACGTACAGTAGTACCTTGGTATTCAGCATTAATTAATTCTGGGAGGCACAATGATTACCAAAAATGATAAGTACCAAACAAATTTTTCCCATAAGGAGTAATGTAGTGAGTCACAAGGCAGCCAACACCAACAAGTTCTAGCTTGTGTGTTGAGTACCAAAAAACAATGAGAACCAGGACAAAAGTTTCGCCTCAGAATGCATTGAGTATCAAATTCCATAAGTTTCAAAGCAGTTGAATACCAAGGTACCACTCTACTTATGTTCAAATGGGTTGATTCTAATTAATTTTAGGCATGCCTCCTTTTTGCTATAGTTGTGTTTTGTTTCAGGTTTCAGTATATTTCAAGTTTTGTCTGTTTCAGGTTGTGCAAACACACTGCATTGGAGCAGCATATTAGGAAAGATGCAGCATATCAAATGATGCAATATCCTTCCAATCCCAGAGTAAAATAACTTTCATTTATAGTTCACCTTTTTTAGAAGTGTGTTGCAATTAAGTGTGGTGATTTGTGGTGAACTGACTGACAGTTCTTCGACAGAAAGGTAATTTCTGAAAGGGCATGTTATATTTGGTTTACTGAAACAGATGAAATATATTATCAAAATTCCTCCTAGAAACTATTTTATGCTATTTTATGCTATGGAGAAAAACAAAGAGAGCCAGTTTGGTTGTAAGTGACAAAAAGACTATAGTCTTTGATTTACAACTGGTTGCTTAGTGACCATTACAAGTTATGCCACACCCTGAAAAAGGGACTAATAACCCAAATTCAATATTTTAATGTCCACACACCCCAATGTGGTCATATGACAATAATTTACAATAAATCATGGTTGAGCAGCACACACTTGTGAGCTAGTCATTCATACTAGTCCATTTTATAGAGCTGTCAGAACAATATATGATCTCCAGTACAAAATGGGATAACGTGTGTCCTTTAAGCATCTTCCTGCTTTATAAGGGTTCTTTGGATGTCTGTACAGAAACATTGGTAGCTCTCAGAAGCTGGTCTGGAACCTGGCATTTACTTCTGGTTTCTGGCCAAAAAAGCACCTTGTAGAGCACAATGGGTTTGTTTAATGACCACATTGTTTGCTTAACCATGAACTTCTGCAAAGTTGGTCACGGTCCCATGATGACTTTATATCTAAAGTTGTTAAGGACTAACTCTAAATACTAGCTATGTGTTAAGCATGGAAGTCAGATGATTCTGGGATCGTCATATCCTATCAGCCCTAGGAAGAGGGAAAAAACAAACCACTTACGGTACTGTTGCCAAGAAAACTGCAGGATTAGGCTGTGTAGTCACCTGGAGACAAGATGGATTGAAGGTCCCATAAAAAGGGGAGAGGAATAGGGGGGGGGGGGGTAAAATAAGATAGACCAAAATGTCTATTAGCAATTTCAAGATTATTTTTTAAAGTATTAGATATACTGCTTACTACTACTGTCTCCAGTAGTTTATATTGGCTCTTGATAGCTTACCTGTCCAGTTGTGGATATCTACAACTAAATAGATGAACTATGGAAACAATCTGTAGTCTGCCTCCTGAACTAACTAAGTTGAGCCAACTATCATGCTACTCAATATATTGTTTTTAAAATATATATGTGTGTGTTTTTTTTTAAATTTGGCTTGTTTGGTAGCAAAACTGGCTATTACAATTTGATTAAAACAAAATATAACAATTCCTCTATTCTTCTGTTTGTGCACAGAAATAGGTCTTTATATAATTCTTATAGTTCCTAAATATTTTCCCATCTACCCTCTAAATGACTGTCAGTAATATGAATAATTATGTTCTGCATTGACATTCCAAATAGGTGAAATTATATTTCTAGTCTCATTATACCTGGTTATACTTCACACATACAAATATTTTCCATGTTTATACCATACTAACTTTTTCTTCTCTTTTTGACATTATGCAAAATATGGCAGATTTCATTGTATAAGTTCTGTTGCAATCTAGTTGCAATCTTTTTGAAAGAAGTAGGATGCTGTTGCTTAAATCACATTTGAGAGCCAAGGCTGCATAGTATTATGGTTGTGTAAGATGCAGAAGATAGATCACGGTTGAGCAACACACAACTCTGAGCTAGTCATTCATAGTAGTCCATTTTTTAGAGTTATCAAAACTGTATATGATCTCCCAATATAAAATGGGATCTTCCTGCTTTATAAGAGATCTTTGGATGTCTGTGCAAATACATTGGTAGCTTTCAGAAGTATTAAGAGATTTGAAAGAGGTTTAGAGATTCATATTCCAATAATACTCATATAAGCCTAGTATGTAGCTATAATAGCCTCCACAAATGTCCTCGGATTGATTTCTGCTGCACTAGCAAGGCAAGAGACCAAGGACTAACCCAAAACAGTGACTCTTCTTTTTTTTTTTCCATAATGTCAGTTTCTGAATAGGAACTAGAAAGTATTAATAAATCTATTGTTTCTTTTCTTATCGGATTGAATAGGTCAGTCCGTTTCTACATGTTATGTTATCTTGGGGCATACATACATATGGAAATTTATGTTTTTCTCAGACTTGCCTTGCATTTTACTGATATCCCTGTAGCAAGGTCTGATTAACTATAGTATGATATTTAGATGCACAGTGTTCTGCCATTGGTGTGATGACTGAAGCCAAACTGCTGTATGCCTTGAAAAGAACCGTTATTCCTTAATTTGTGTGAATTGTGTGTTTTTCAACTTCCAGAGATTTCTTTCAAAAAGTCATTCAACATGGTGGCTCTGATGGACCTTTCTCCAAAGGGATGACTGGACAGATTGGATTAACTCAGGTAAGAGTTAGTTGCTTTTGGAAGAGAACATAGTTCAGGGAAGAACAAATTGTCTGAAGGTATAAATACCAATGCTCCATTTCTGGCATCTCCCTTTATGCAAAGGGTTTCTGGGCACCAGGACTATGGAATTCCGTGGAGCAGAAAGGGATGGGTGAGATGAGTCTGACTCACATTCAGGATGTGACAAAAACTGTTTAATAGCAATAGCGATAGCACTTAGACTTATGTACCGCTTCACAGTGCTTTGCAAGCACTCTCTAAGCGATTTACAGAGTCAGCATATTTCCCCCCAACAATCTAGATCCTTATTTTACCGACCTTGGAAGGGTGGAAGGCTGAGTCAACCTTGAGCCAGTCAGGATCAAACTCCTGGCAGTGGGCAGAGTCAGCCAGCACCAGGGTGGATTTGAGTTAAATCGAGTTGATTTAAATCACAATTTAAATCATGATTTAAATCACTAGTAAAAAGGCTTGATTTAAATCAACTTGATTTAAATCATGATTTTTAAAGAGCAACTGTCATCTCTGCTACTCCTTTGACCCACTGTTGACTCACCGATAGTCCCAGTGTTGCAGAATATACAGCCTCATGCTATATAACTAAGCTCCATTTCATTCAATTATTTATGTATCTTAAATAGAAAACTATCTTACGATAGATTTTTACCCCAAAAGTTTTTTATTAAAATAAATTCGATAAAAATCAAAAAAATCCGATTTAAATCAAAAAAATCCGATTTTTTTGATTTTTTTAAAAAAATCATTGATTTTTATCCACCCTGGCCAGCACTGCATTCTAACCACTGTGCCACCATGGTTTATGGTGGAGAAACCTTTCCACACAGGCAACAAAGCTAGAAGTAAATGCCAGTTCCCGTAGCCTTATGTATCATGAGGCTTGGTTATCTAAGGGACCACCTGTAATTTTGCCCAGCCAGTAGAAGCCTATAGGTTTGACATGCTCCTGGACTCTTTGAACAACACAATCTATCTGAATCTGAAGCATGCCTTTTCTTTTGAATTTCCCCCCCACCCCCCCTAAAATGTGGTTCACTCTGAGATCCATGTGGCTCTCACCTTTGTGTCATTCCAGAAGCTTTTAAAAAAACTGACTGTTCTCTCAAGTCTTGGGCTAACATGCATGGTGGCTCTTGATAGTTATGTTTTGTATATATTTTCTCTCTTGTTTGGGTAAATTCCCATCTTGTTCATTTATTACATATTGCATTCTTTATTTTATTCTCTGAAGCCAATATGGAATGAGACAGTGTCTAAATTGAAAAAAGTAAATAAAATAAAGCCTTATTCAGATATTGGCTTACTTGGCAAAAAGCTCACAAAAATATCACCCAGCAAAATTAGTTTCTTCACTGCAGGCAAAAATGTACACACAGAAATTCTATCCACTGAAATACATGTAAATCAAATACCTTATGTAGTTGATGATCTGTGATTTAAATTCTAGGCTTTTCTCCACTCCCCATGTTTCTGAGTTGGTGGATTATTGATGGCCTTGGGAGGCATCTGATACATGTTGGCACAGTGCTCTCTCTACCATGAGAACAGCTACTTTCTGTCTTACCAGTTTCATTTCTTAGAAATGTAATATTTAACCCATCATATGGGGATAGTTCAGGAAGCCCAAACCAGGGACTCCTTTATAGCTTATGAAGTACACCCACTTCTATTCCTAACATAGTCATCTTCCATGTTTAATATGCTTGCAATGGATATCCTTATCACTTTGTTCTGTCCCACTCTGTTTGTGTTAAAATAAAAATAGTTGTATTTTAACATCTGTTTTAGCTTATTGCTGACTTTGAAGATGATTGCAAGAAAGTTTCTTCTACTTCTAATATCCCCCTCCCTGAAAACTTCTCATTGAGCAAGAGTTTTGTCGAAACGATGGCGAAAAATGGCTTTAGTGTACCCTTCCTGAAGGCTGCTATGCTTCTCAAGAAAAATGGTAAAACTTCTGTTATGCAGGGCAGTGGCATAATGCCTGCTATATTTATTTCACTTTATTTATCGTCAAATCAATTCAGTACTTTTTAAACTGGAAAATGCTCTATTTCTTTGAGAAGGTGAGCACTCTTGGAAGAAACATTCAATTTTATGCATGAGAATGAAGGGGGAAGAGTCAAATGCCTTTTTAAAGAAGGTGCATATTCTCTGTGCTTTTTATACTTGATTTAGCTCTAAAAATCATTACTGTATATACTCAAGGATGAGCCATTTTAGGTTGCAAAATACTACTCCAAAGATTGGTTTTAGCTTATCCATGGATGGGCTTATTTGTCAGTATATATGGTAATATTTTTTTAAATACCCATATATTCTTACAGATAATTCGACCCTCAAGCCTTTGGCCAAAATACTATGAAAAATGTGCCACCTATTTATAAGCCAGTGGTGAAAATTAAAATGTACAAACATTTTAAGGGCTGGCTTATCTGTGGATTGTTCATTTTTGGTAGTATTTTGATTGAATGTCCATGGAGATTCTCAGTCATCCATTTAATGGTTCTCCCAAAGGTGCTTTTTCAAAAGGCAACTGACTTTGTTTTCCTTGAAGACATTTCACTTCTCATCCAAGAAGCTTCTTCAGTTAGTATTTTGATTAAAAATTCAAGGGTTGGTTTATCCATGCATAGGCTTATCCATGAATGTTATTATTTTATTATTATTATGTATTAGATCTTTATCCTGTCTTTATTACTTTATAAGTAACTCATACATAATAATCTTTTCTACTCAACTGTTTCCCCATAACAACAACCCTGTGATGTGAATTGGGCTGAGAGAGTGACTGATCTAAAATCATCCAGCCAGCTCCTGGTTTCTAAGTCAGTCTCCTGGTTTCTTAACCACCACACAACATTGCTCTCTCAAGTATATATGGTATTTTTCTTCCAAGTGTTAGGGTAGTGATCAAATGCCCAGACAATTGGTTCTTTTGAATCCTGAGATAATAAGCACACCAGTAAACAAAGGAATTTTAAGCTTTATTATTAGCTCAAGCAAACAAATTTAAAAGCATAGCATAAAATCTGTTCATACCAAGTAAGATGATACCCAAATCTCTTACGAGCTGTCAGGAGCTCCTCAATAGCCACAGCAGTGATACCCCAAAGCAGCCAATTTCCATAGTACCTAAATGATAGATTCTGTGGAGAAGCTCCCAACAACAACCCCAAGGTATTTATCAAAACTTGGCACCGTATTAGAGCCATGTTCATGGCTTTACCGTGGTTATGAAACTGCAAGTCTTTGGTTGAATGGCACATGACTCTGCGATGGGAACCAAAAGTGAAATTTTCACAAGTTTGCAGGTGTGTGAAAATCCCCCCCCCTTCTTTATTCAGCAAGAAAGAGTGATAATCAGATTAACTCAGAATCAGCTCTAAATTTCTAGACTTTTTAATATAATGGAGAAATAAAAATATGTCCCTAAATTCCTCAAAATAACAATAACCTTCAACATTGTCACTCTTTCACGAGCAATAGACAAAACATTTGTTGTTGTTTATTACCATTCCTTATTGGAGCCTAATAAATACATTTGCCTTAACTATCTTGTCCATAATGTGTATGGACATCAGCTTTGTGGAAGTTGAAAAAAATCTTGTGATCTTTGTGACTAACTGAATCAGGAATTGTCAAACTTCACAATATCACTCCCTCTTAAAATAAATAAATACAGATAGTCCCCATTTATTCAATTTCCTGCCCCTTTTCAGATTTCAGAATTGCTGTCCTGACAAACAACTGGATTGATGATACTCCTAGCAGGCATCAAACAGGGTTCGCTTTATGTCTGCTGAGGAAATATTTTGGTAAGGTGATTGAATCCTGTCGGATTGGGCTGCAGAAACCAGATCCCAAGATTTACGAGTATGCATTACATGAGCTGAATGTAACACCTGAGGAGGTTAGTGACTTCTCAACCTCTTTTCTAATAGATTTCCAGCTTTACCTATCTGTATCACTCACTACATCAACTTCTAGTGTGTATAGAGATGATAATGTTCCAAGTACTCTGTCATGGTCTGGAGATATTTTTATTGGGATTCAGTTCTCTCTTGCTAGTTTAGATGTGATTCAATGAAATCCCACTTTGAAGCCTATTAAACACGATAGTACTTTGATTTATTAATGAGACCTTGGAGATGTATAATCAGATATTATTTCTCTCTTTAATATCTTTGAAAAGTAATTGTGAGGGAGGGAGATTTGACTAGAATTCCACTAAAAAGATAGGCAATTTCCCATCTCTTCTCTAATACAGGCAACACTCTGTTTTGCTCTATTAAACATTCTAATAAGGGCAAATAATAATGTGCACAGTATGTGCTTAAATAAGTGAGATAATGATGGAATTAACATGCCCCCCATGCAGCAAATCTTAATTTCCCCCTCCCTCCCCCCGAAAAAACTCAAAGCTTTCTACAAAGAAAAAACTCTGAAGAACTGTATTGTATAATTTTTCTTTCTAAATCTTCCTCCTTACTTTAACATTCTAGTCCTAATGGTTGAGGATATGTTTAAAACTGCAACAGTGGCTACTGATCTTTTTAAAGATAAAGGGATTAATGAATAAAATCCTTTATTTTAAGGGAGGGCAGTCTTCAGTTTATTATTTTATATCTTATTCTTTCCTGCTCTGTAAATTCATTTTGCATACTTAGTACATTTTGCAAATTTCCACTTCTCTCATTGCAGCATGTAGATTGCCTGAATAAAGAATATTTTTTGTAGAATATGGGCCCTTCACCTGCAGCAGATCTTGATTCTTTTCTTCACTTTAGGTTATTTATCTGGATGACATTGGTGCAAATTTAAAGCCTGCTCAGAAGATGGGGATGACAACAATCCTAGTGAAAGAAGCTGATTCTGCTTTGAAGCAGCTTCAAGATCTGACTGGGGTTCAGGTAAGTAGTCCTTATCTGGGCTTTGATATGAGCAGTTTCTTTGATCTCATACAGGTCTTGTTTTTCAAACTTTGCTACAGAGTTGTCCCACATAAACAAGTCAAGAGAACAAACTTTTAAAGCTTTCTTCAAAGCAAAGATAGGAAGGTCCAGTATAATTCCCCCCCCCCCCCGCATAAATTCCACAGATTAGGAATCATTGAGCAACATTGAGCAAAGAGCCCTGGTGGCGCAGCAGACTAAAGTACTGTTATTAACATCAGCTGCCTGCAATTACTGCAAGTTCAAATCTCACCAGGCTCAAGGTTGACTCAGCCTTCCATCCTTTCTACAGTAGGTAAAATGAGGACCCAGATTGTGGGGGCAATAAGCTGACTTTGTATAAATATACAAAAGTATGAAGGCTATTGCTTAAAGCATTGTAAGCCGCCCTGAGTCTCCGGAGAAGGGCGGCATATAAATCAAAATTAAAAAAAAAAAAATTTAAAAAAAAAACCCTGCAAAGCTCTTTGGGTGTATTGTATTGATTGGGAAAATGAAGTCAGTAATTAGAGAATCTCTAGAATTATGTTAAAACTGAACTCAGGTTTGTATAAAGTAGTGGGAAGTCCTCTAGATAATTTGGACCCAAAGTATTTAGGACATTAAAAAATAATTATATGAATTGGGCTTAGAAATAATTAGTGAGGTTGGTATAGAGATCTATAAAATCATCCCATCATATAGTTCAAGAATTACTTCTGGATTGAGGCAGCTGCCAAAGCCCTGTCTATATTTCTCCTTTCAGGATCACAGAGTTCCCAAAATAGCTTGCAAGCAATATAAACAACTGTAAATACAATATTTTATATTTTATTTATTTTATTTTAAGAAATTTACATTGCCGCCTATTCGCACATGGCGACTCAAGGCGGCTTACAAGAATATGAAAACCTCATATATAAAACATTAAAACTAATAAAAATAAATAATCATATAATAAATTAATAAAATAATATAATAACCTCCCACCCCCTCCCCCAGTGACAACACATCACATGAGCCATTTAATAGGCTCCATCCCACTCTGCGTTCCCCAGGCCTCTGGCAGAACCAGGTCTTCAGCGCCTTCCGGAAGAGTGTAGAGTGGGGGTCATTTTAATCTCTGGGAATGATGTTCCAGAGAGAGGAAGCTACCACGGAGAAGGCCCTTCTTCTGGGTCCCACCAGGTATATCTCCCTCCCTGCTCTGGTGGGTCAGGTAGATGTGACCGGCAAGAGACGGTCCCTCAGATAACCTGGTCCCAAGCCATGAAGGGCTTTAAAGGTGACAACCAGCACCTTGAATTGCACCCAGAAGCAAATCGGCAACCAGTGCAGCTCCCGCAGGAAAGGTGATACATGTGCTTACGAGGTCTGCATAAAACATGCGGGCTGCTGCATTTTGCACCAACTGGAGCTTCCGGATGCTCTTCAAGGACAGCCCCATGTAGAGCGTGTTGCAGTAGTCAAGACGGGAATATAACAAACATTTATGAAAAATAAAAGGATCCTTCCCTTAGGACTGTTGCAGGCAGTAGCTAGGGTTGAGGGCAGGCAGGCGGAAGAGAAGGAAAGAATCCAACTGGGCAATTTCTGGAATAGCTGCTGCCTTTCTACTTCCATCTCTTTTGGGGATCATTCTCATGGGGTAACTATATGTGCGGCTAAGAACTACTATAATTTTTCCTGACTGATAGCTGGTTCTATATAGCTCATAAGCTTGCATGCCTCTTTTGCTAGTACTGTACAGTTTCTGTCTTGACTAATCTGCAAGATAAACATGACAACAATAGCTGAACTGGGGAAGAGATTAATGGCAAGGCATACTGGTGATGGAAGGAAATGAGACTGCTGCCCAGGACTGGCTGATTTTCACATGCCTGGATATACAATATTAACCTTGTAAACCTGACTCAGTGGTTGGCCGTTTTAGCCCAGCAGGATCTGGTTACTTTGTGCTGCAATGGACACGTTTTTTCTGTAATACTTTTGTTAGCTCTACCCAGAAGTACTTCATCCAACTCACGTAGCAGCTGATTCCTTGAAAGTGGATCTGCTTCTTTCCCTTTAAAAAAACAAAACACAGGGATCTGCATTTCTCTGTGGACCCAGGTTTCTTTCTACCTTTGCAGTGAGCAAATTGCTGGGATTTGTGCTACATGAAAATTTTGAAAAAAAATCCAAGGGCATTTTTCCCTTAGCAAGATTTTTTTTAAAAGCAGGCAATTTAAATGTGGGCTTTTAAATCATTTTTAGCTGGATTTCATTATCTTCCAGGAGTGGAATTTTTATGAGACATTGAGCAGAATGAATTTCAGCTTCCTTTTTACTCTTTTAATTGGGTTTTCAGTCCTTTTTTTATACCATAGATATTTGGAAAATGCTATTATACTATTTTAGCAGAAGGTTCTTGCATAGCTGCATCAATTAAAGCTTCTTTGTTATCTATATTTATTACAAGAGGTGTTAGCCTGAATATTTGTACATTTTCCTCCACATCTGTCCATCCATCTTCAACTTTGATTTATTGATGGAATAGATTGATTTTCTCGGTGCATTCAAGAGTGTTGTATAAACCTAGCCAGTATGGTTAGTTTATGTTTGTGCAATTCACTTAATTCAGCTGTTACTAGTAAGTAAGTGAAATCTCCTTCAAGTTCAGATGTTCATTTAGTTTTCCTGGGAGCAGTACGGAAAAGATGATCCACTCTTTTCTTCTGGGTCCTTCTCTTGACATCATATCATCACTGCTATCGGCTTGGCGGAACCGGGCGGAACCCACCACTAATACTAGGTCTTCGTTCAGTAGTGAGCATGCTCTCTGACTGTTGAAAGTTTTCATGTTCAATTCCTGACATCTCCCTTGATTTTTTAAAAGGGAAAAACTTCAGTGATGGGGAGAAAAAATCCTGTTACTAAACATCGTAGAGATCAGTTGCTAATCATAATAGATCCCTCCTGAACTGACTCATGTGGTGCTTGAAATCTCACTCATTTAATTATCTATTCCACAGCTTCTTGACCAGGAAGAATATCTCCCTTCAGCATGTGAGCCCCAGGATGTGGCCCATGGATATGTAAAAATCAAGGTAATGATAGGAAGACTATATTTAAAATTGATGTTTTAATTGCTTTCAATGGGGGAAACAATTCTGTTTATTGTGATTTGAGCATGTAAAAATGAAAAATCATTTTCAAGAAGAGATTGGACAACCATTTGTCTGAAATAATGTAGGGTTTCCTGCCTGAGCAGGGGATTGGATTAGAAGACCTCCAAGGTCCCTTCCAACTCTGTTATTCTGTTCTGTTCTGAATCATGTATTGTGCCTTAGTCATTTCATATAGTGAAAACAGCAGGCTCAAATTCATCCCAAATAACTAGCAAGACATGGCCTCAGTCACCTTGTTTGCATCTGTCCAAACGGCATCCAGCTGAAAGCAAATCTGGTCTTTATTCTCTGTCTCTCTCATGTTCTTCATTGCAGCTCAGCAAATACTTTTCCAAACCATCTCTCCCTTTACATATAAATAGTGCCATTTAGCTGGGGATGTAATGTACTATAGGAGAGAGAAAATAATGCCATTTTGCTACTGTTGTAAAAGCTAAGCAATAACTTCCATTTGCTTGGATTAATTCCTTGACTTCTGCCATTGACAGTACCAGTGTCTTTACAGGAAGATGGGTTTTGATCATCTATTTATCATTTCCCATATGGCAATTTTAAGTAGGGGGTACAGGTAGGTACCACCTCTAAGCTGTTGGTTTGCTTTGCATATAGATGTTTCCTGTTTTGGTTATTATGCCTGCCCTACTTTTTAACAATTTACTCTGAAGTTTAGAGATGCAGTTCCTTCTGCCTTTGAGAATTACGACTCAAGTCTTTCTTCCTTCCTGTCTTTAGCCGGACACCGAGTTGCACTTTGTGGAGATGGGAAGTGGTCCAGTGATTTGCCTCTGCCATGGATTTCCAGAGTCCTGGTTTTCTTGGAGGTTCCAGGTGACATAATTTTTAAGCATATTTATTTCTAATTTGCATAAATGCCATCTTTTGGAATAAGTTCAATTTACTTGAAGGAAAAGGAATATCCCTTTCTCATACATAATATATGGCAGCTGCAATGTTTACATGGAAGTTTTGGGTTATGGGCAGTGGTGAAATCTAAAATTTGTTACTACTGGTTCTATGGGCGTGGCTTGGTTGGGGGGGGTAATGTGACTGGGTGGGCATGGCCATTTTTTTTTTTTTACTTTTAAAACCATTTTTTTTAGAACCTCTTCGGTGAAGAGGTTGTAAAAAAAATGCTTTCAAAAGGCTCTGATGATCCCAGCTGAGTTGCCTGATCGGCAGAGGCTTTTTTTCTTTTAAAAGTCTCTGCCGATCAGGCAACTCAGCTTGGATCATCAGAGGCTTTTAAAAGAAAAAAAGCCTTTGCCGATCAGGCAACTCAGCTTAGATTGTCAGAAGCTTTTAAAAGAAAAAAAGCCTCTGCCGATCAGGCAACTCAGCTGGGATCATCAGAGGGCTTTTAAAAGCCTTTGATGATCCCAGCTGAGCTGCGTGATCATCAGAGGCTTTTTTTTTTACTTTTAAAAGCATTTTTTCGGCCGAAGATGTTGTAGAAAAAATGCTTTTAAAAATAAAAAAAAAGCCTCTGATGATTGCACGGCTCAGCTGGGCATGGGGCAGTGATTTTTGCTACCGGTTGTCTGAACTACCTGCCTCCATCGCTACCGGATCGGGCAATCCAGTCCGAACCGGGAACATTTCACCCCTGGTTATAGGAAGATGGGCCCATATTACTGTGCACCCAACAAGGTTACTTATGTCTTTTTCTCCATGCTAGATTCCTGCCCTTGCTGATGCTGGCTTCCGTGTCATTGCCTTGCAAATGAAAGGCTATGGAGATTCTGTGGGTCCACCAGGTATGTTTCCTCTGTGTGTGTGTGTGTGTGTGTGTGCGCGCTTTAAAACAGATTCATTGTATTGGTCCACTTTTTAAATGTGACCTTGCTATTTAAGTCATTTGATAGTTGTTCTTCACTCATGACTTCCACATGGGTTTTAGCAATACAAGAGACCACCTTGCGAAGCAGAGAAATCATGGTAATAATTTAAAATGAAAGTGCATTACAGTAACATTGACCCCTTAATCTATTTAAGCCTGCTCTAAAGACCCTGAACTGTTTTGTCAGGATCCAAGAGATGAGCAAAGAGTTTAAATATTCCCTAACTAACCCTTGCACCTTCGCTGTAGTTTAAACCCTGCAATACTGTTTGCATTTGTAAAGCTTTCATGCGGTAAACCTGTGTGTAACTGATAGCAACTCTCAAAGGTCACCAGCCAAGATAGGCATTTCCCAGTTCTACTGCCGTAAAGCCAGTATGGTGTAGTGCAGGGATCTACAACCTTAAACACTCAAAGAGCCGTTTGGACCCGTTTCCCACAGAAAAGAAAACACGGGAGCCACAAAACCTGGGTGGGCGTGGCCAACTCAACACCATTCACTTCCACCAGTCACATGACCACCATCCCCAGCCACGCCTACCCAGCAAGTCATTAGGGCAGAGAACCAGTTGTTAAAAAACACTGGGAACAACAAAACCCTTTTGACCTCTCTCTCTCCTCTCTCCCCCTCTCTCTCTGTATCTCTGTATCTCTCTTTCTCTCCCCGTCTCTCTTTATTTGCCCCTGGCGAGGAGTGACTGGGAGGGGAAGGCTAGGAGGGGGGGCCAGCCAGTGATGGGATCACCCGACAGGGAGCCACAGCAGAGGGCCCAAAGAGCCGCATGCGCCTCTGAAGCTGCAGGTTGCTGACACCCGGTGTAGTGGTTGATGTGTTGGACTAAGACTGGGAAAGCTAGCTACAAAAGCTTTGTTATATACAACCCAGAGTCACTTGTTGTAAGATGGGCAGCTATATAAATTTGATAAAACAAAGGAACAAAATTCTCTACCCTCAGGCTTGGAAATTCACTGGGTGACTTTGGGCAGAAATTCTGTGTCGACCCAATCTATCTCAATCACTTTGAGTTATTTAATGAAAATTAATAAACAGTAGCTATAGAAATGCTGGAGTTTGAACTTTGCAGAGAGAGAGACAGAGAGAGATGCCATTTCCAGTAATTTGCTGCCTTTCTTCGATGCACAGACATACATGTAGAGTAGTGCTCACTGATAGTCCTCTGCTTATGAATACAATTGAACCCAAAATTTCTGCTGCTAAGTGAAACAGTTATTAAGTGTGCTTTACTCTATTTTCCTGTCATAAGTGAATCACTGCAGATGTTAAGTTAGTAACACACTTAAGTGAATCCCTGCTGACTTTGTCAGAAGGTCCCAAAAGGTGATCCCATGACCTTGGGACACTGCAGCTGTCATAAATGTGATTCTATTGCCAAGCACCTGTATTTTGATCACATGACCATGGGGATGCTGTAACTGTCATAAGTGTGAAAAACAGACATAAGTTTCAGTGCCATTATAACTTTGAATGGTCATTACTGTTGTAAGTTATCTGCATAAGACTGGAATCTTTTCCCAAAATAATAGGCTTGACTGTTGAGAGCCTAAGTCAAACAAGGCTTCTTGAATTGCACACAGAGGCCAGCTGACAGTCAATACACCCATGGTACAGTTGTCATAGTGGCAAACTGAGCCTATTTCTACTTGGGTCACTGCATTTTAAAGTAACTGAAGCTTTGAATAGCATACAAGGGCAGCACTATGTAGAGCAGAGGTGTCAAACTCAAGGCTCACGGGCCAGATCTGGCCTGCAGGGTGCTTAGATCTGGCCCACAGGGCCACCCTGGAAACAGTGAAGGACCGGCCTGTGGTGCTTCTGCCAGTGAAAATGGAGCTTGGGAGGGCCGCAAGTTCCGTTTTCACTGGCAGAGGGTTGCGGGAGGCTGGTGCAGCGAAAAACAGAGCTCAGGAGCCCATTTTTGCTGGCACAGGACTCAGGCTACCACAGGCGCTCCCGACACAAGTGACGTCAAGCTGGCCACACCTACTCTGGCCCCCCAAAGTGAAACACAACTCTGATATGGCCCTCAATGAAATCAAGTTTGACAACCCTGATATAGAGCATAGCCCCGCTGATAGCTTCTGCAAAAGTTAGGCCATGTGGCATGAAGTAGAATGAAGCAGCTATCTGAATGTTTGGCATAATCATCTCTTTTTACTGACCCCATAATCCCTTGCAGGGTGGAGTCTGGGCAACTGAATGGAGCAGAGTGTTTATTGGCTGGATGCCTTTCCTGTCGCCAATGTGGAGTTATATTCAGCAGATATATTCTCATCCTGCCCAGAGAGAGAAATATCTGCCTCTACCTAGGATCGAACTCACAGCCTCCTGATTGTGAGGAGAGCGCTCCACCTCTAGGGCACCGCACCACTCTAATGTTTGGCATAATGCTTGCTATAAAAGCTCATTCTGCTCCATTCTTCCATTTTTGATATATCAAACCACAAAACCCCCAAATCAGCACTGAATTTGAACATGATTTTTAAAACATTTTACTGATTTACTTGCATTTTATATATGTGCGTGCCACTTTGTTGGCCGACACAGCTGGGAAGAGCTTATAAATGAACATGATGTTTTCTCGTCATATTTAGATTTGTTATCCTCTCATTATCGAAACGTGAAGCATTATTTTCTCTGACTATGTGTGGGCACGCAACTGTGTGTCAGTAAACAAGTTCCAGTAGTAGTCAGAACAATTGAGATGTAGTTGATTTTTTTTTTTATATCGTTTGCAGAAAAATTTAGGATCAGATTGTATTTATATTTCACATTTCAAATTGTAAGAGTCCTGCTTGCTTTTGGATGTAAATTGCTCCAGGATTTTCTAGGCACAGTCCCCCTGACTTCTGGTCATGGACAGTCTCAGCCGCAGTGGCAAGAAACAGCCGTGCTCCAATCTGATTGTTGTCATTTCATTTCCCACACTGCCAGAGTGGTGACATGTAAAGGATATTGTGGGAGATTAAAATGGAAGGTTGACACAACTGGGCCCTGAGTGGAAAAAAGACATTAAATTGTCCTGAGCAGATGACAGAAGGGAATACTTATGGATTCTGGTGGCTACTAGGGAAGCAGAGGGCAGACATAAATCCTTTGAAGCTTGTTAGAAGTACAAGGAAAGCTTGCTTCTTCATTTCTCTCCCCCCCCCTTCTTCCTTAACTGATTATGTTCAGAGTTTCTTCTGAACATAATCTTATTGCATGGAATATCCTGAGGGGAGCTGTTGTGTCATCATTATGCAAGATCCATGATCGCCAACAGAGTTAGATTCTAGCAATAATATTGTGGTCTCAAGCATTTCAGGGTACAAGATTCCAAACCAGAGTTCTGTTCAATAGCCCAGAGATAAGGTGGAATTTAAATGGTCAATATGTTTGCTCTGTTATTGGAAAGTTCAGTTTGATTTTATTCTACATTTTGGTAGAAACTGTCCTGCTGGCTGAAACTTCTAACTTCAGTGGTAAGATTGGGCATTTCTATTTTGTTGGAGCTTGTAATTTTCTTTCTAAGTTGTCATGGGGCATGAGTGCTCATGCATGTAGACTTTTGGATGAACGGGAGAGAGAGGTAGATCAAAGTAATGGCAATTCCAGGAGTGATGTGTTCCAAGAAAAGTCTAGGCTTGCTGACTGGTGGATGGATCATTGCTTTCTGCCAACACAACTAAAAATTTGAAATGCTTCTTGGGTGTTGCTCATATCCTGAATAGGACAAAACTTTTGTTTTTCCACTCTATGGAAAAACATGAGCCATGGTGGCCCAGTGGTTAGAATGCAGTACTACAAGCTACTTCTGCTGGGTGCAGTTCAGCAGTTCAATTCTCACTGGCTCAAGGTTGATTCAGCCTTCCATCCTTCCGAGGTGGGTAAAATGAGGACCCAGATTGTTGGGGGCAATATGCTGACTCTGTAAACCACTTAGAGATGTCTGTAAAACACTGTGAAGTGGTATATAAGTCTAAGTGCTATTGCTATGGTATTTGAAATTGATTTTCCCCAACCTTGATTCAACCATCTTCTATTCTACCATACAGAGTATTCTTTCTATAGCCCTGTATGAAAGCAACTTCTCTTCCTTATGCAGTCTATTAACACCTGGGGTGTTAATTTGAAAGTTTTTGGAGGGCATGGAGAAGCCCATGGCAAGTCTTGCATTTTAAAATCAATTTGTGGGCATACAGTGGCTTTAATAATGCCTGTTTTTGTTGCAGATACAGAAGCATATTCTCAGGAAGAAATTTGTAAGGTAGGTCATGATCTTCAATAATATATCCTTCACTTGTAGTAACTGAGATACACTCAACAGCATTTATGATATATCAATATGTAAAACAGTTCAAAGAAGTATTCAAACCAGTGAAGATCAACATCAGTACAGGTGATTCCCACAAATGGTTGTTCAGCAACCATCTCAAGTTAAAATGGCATTGAATGAGGGGAACGTATGATCCTTGTATTGCAGCATATCAGCATCTTCACAGTTACATAATGTCATTTATCATCTTCACTGCTGTCTTCCGATGTGCAAAATTAATGGGGAAGCTGGTAGGACGTTACCAAAGGTGATCACGTGATTTCAGGAAGCTGCGATCACGTGAGCTTTACCTATTGATAGCAACTGGGATTGCTGGAACTGCCCATTATGAGCCAGCACGGTCACATAATGTCACATCTTATAGTCATGTTGCTTAACAATGGACTTGCTGGTGCCAGTTGCCATCAGCAGGCGAGAACTACATTCAGGCAATTGGGTATTCAATAGTGAACAAAGCCATGGGAATATGACTGATATGATACTCTTCAAGTGTATAACTTCCATGTATATAACTCATAGCTTAGTTTTTTACATGCAAGACGATAGCAATTGGAGGACCTGATTTTCCATCACTAAGCAATGCAGTCGTAAATCATGGGGGTGCCAGGACAGCAGAACTTTGAGGTCCATCTGTAATCATCATTCATTCAGCTTTGTCATAACTTTGAATGGTTGCTAAATGGATGGTTTTGGGTTGAGGACTACCTGTACACAGCAGAGAGGAAAGAATAGCATTCGTATGGTAATCTGACTCATCCGGAAGTGGTTTAATGTAGCAACCAGACCATTTCATGCTTCTTATAAGGCTACATTGGATCAGCAAGAAGATGCTAATATGCTGCTGCTGCTGCTATTGTTGTAGTTATTTAATGGCAGCAGTACTGTGGTTATTGTAGGAAAAAATCTGGTGCATTTTCAATGAGTTCTAGAGAAAAAGCAGATAAACTGAGGCTTTGGTAATGCAGCACAAATTCTAAAAGGACATGGGATTTCCAGCAAGTATGGGAATGAGAAAAGTCGACAGAACTTTCAGGGTGCATTTCTAGTTTATGTATATATCATAGCCCATTTATTTTTTAGGAATTGAGGATTATAAAATAAAAAAGTTACTGCTTTTTCCTAGGTAGATATATCACATCACATTACATGGATTCTTAGCTATTTATACTACAGGAATTGTAACTTCGCCAGCTTTTTCTCCTCCATATTACCAAAGCTGTTTAAAGCTGAATGAGAGTGATTTCCTTAAGTCAGTTTTTGAATTCTACTAAAAAATCTACACTTGAGAATTGTTAGTTCATCCAGCTCTAAAATATCGACTTCCTGAACATTTTAAATAAGTGTGGTGATTTGTGTGAGAATTTGTAGGATTATAATTATGGTTTTGGAACACAACGTTCATGGGCAGCATTCTAACAGTTAGATTCCACTTTTGGTTGCAAGGACAACTAAGCCATTTGATAGGTAAGGCAGGAGATGCGATGCTTATACATATAATTATCTAACTGCTTTCTGTTAAATCAGTATTAAGGAATCTGAAAGGCCCATATTGCTTTTATACAGTATCTGGCATTCTACAGCCCAGAAGGAAGTTTCATTCCATCGCTGAGGGAAGTCCATTATTAGGAAGAGTCATTTTCTCCATGCAGACAAGGACAGGGAGCAATTTCATTGGGGGTGGGGGGGAAGAGTTAGTGAAAGATGCAAGTTTCTACTGAAAGAGTGTTCCCACACCTACCCCGAACTCATCTAGACCTAGGAAATAGCCTAAGATAGAAAAGCTAAACTTCAACTTGGAAAGCATCCATACATCTGTCAAAACACAGTAGAGTATAATTCAGAAGGTGACCAGTGGGAGACAGGAAAATTTCATTTCATATACTTATGGTGTTTCAGGTTTTGAGTGAATAAAATACAGTGTCTATCCTAGGTAGATTCAATTGGCTGCATGCCCAAAATGCAATTTTATGATCTGCTAAAATTCAACTCTGATGGAGTGCAAATAGCATGGAGAACATGCATGATGTTGTGTTCCTGCTGCTCTCAGTCTGTATCTGCCTGAGCTGACCCAGGATGGACTATGCAGTGGAAGACAAAATAAGAGGGTTTTTCTCAAGAACTTGATGTCAATGTCTGGCTTTTTTTTTTTTTTTGCTTATTTACTTCAGGATTTGCTGATCTTTCTGGACAAAATGGTAAGTTATGCTGGTTTGTATCTTACAAAATGTATTATCAACAAGGTTGTACCATCCCCTACTATCCCCTTTGCTAAAGGTCGTACCATCCCCTTTTTTCCCCTTCGCTGACCAGAGTGTAACCAGAGTGTGGTCATGACCAGAGTGACCAGAGTGTGACACATCCTGCCTACGAGCCGCGAAATTGACACCCCTGATATAGTGTATTTGAGTCTTCAGTGTTCAACTCACCAGCTGCGTTATATCATTTCATCTCCATATGAAAGAAATGAGGTTCTAAAGATGCAAAAAATGGCTCCCCATGTTTCGATAACCAAAGTTCACCCTGCGTATTATGCAGTGGTGTCTTAGTGGTCCTAGATTCTCAATTATAGAAAAGAGAGAATCTTTGAAACGGGATTTATCAGCACAGCTATATCCACTGCCAAAGTATCAGGAAAAAATAGTACATTTTCCCCAATTTTCCTGTGTGAGTATCTAATTTTCTCTCAGTGACTGATACTGTCTCTTACCAATTTAATAGCAAAGGCATCCTCTGTCAAGAGATGGGTGCTTTATGTTCTTTTTCATTGCTTTTAAAATAGAGATGGCTGCTTTTATGTTGGAGATGGAAGCGTCTGTCAGCTATCCAATAAAACATACGTGCATTATTGCTTTCTGCCACAGTTGGACCATAACTAACCTCTAGGCTTCTTTGACTCACAAATTTAGATTACCCTGATTTCATCTTGACATACAAAATGACCTGATGCTGACAAGATGGACTAGATGAGCCTTAGTAATCCTTTATTCAGCCAATAGCAGGCATAGATTTTGAGATGTTGATTTTCAAGGTGGAGATTTGGGGACATCTTAAGGCTTTATCTGGCAAATGAAGAATTCCATCAGTATTGGAGGAGGGGCTATGATTTGCTACCTTGTGTTAAAATTTGTTTTCTGCCTTTTTGTGCATGGCACTTAAGGCTAGTAATATTGTACAAAGTGAAAAGTTTCTGTAAGAACATACATTTTTATATTTAATTTGCCAGCTGTTTGAGATCTACATGGTTATTTGCTTGTGTATTTGAAACTAGCTGATTATGAGCAAGACACTACTTTCTGTATTACGTTATTGTCATACATGAGGGGTAGCAAGGAAATGAGTGCTTGTAAAATCAAGGAACAGAAATACCATTTCTATAACTTTTGCATGAGTTCTCTGCTTTCTAAACAAGTTCTTTCTCTTCTTCCTAGTTTGCAGGACTTTCAGCGAATGATTGAAAATATGAGACTTTCTTAATTCTATGCAAATAGGTTCATTCTTTTGGTTTGTTGTTCCATAATTTATATCTCACCATATTCAAATAGTGGGATAAAAGACAATCATAAAACGACACAAATCAAACAAAACTGTTAATTACCATAAAAAAGAACGGTTAAGCCCAGGGGTGCGTTCTACTTACCTTTACTACCGGTTCGCATCGCGTGCGTATGTGCAGGATCAACTTTGATGATGTCCAGGTCAGTGGGCGGAGCTTCCCGGTGGTTTTCCTACCAGTTCTTGCAAACCGATCTGAACCGGGGGCAACCCACCACTGGTTAAGCCACATAAAACTATAATAAATTTGTGTTTTAAAATAAAATAAAGAATGAAATGTCATTTTGATTCAGAAATAAAAAGACTAAAAATTTCATTTTTCATTCCCTGTCACAAAACAGTCTTCACTGCCTTCCTAAAAGATAACTCTGTGGGGCCAATCTGACCTCATGGGGGAAGGCTATTCCGTAACTGACAAGGCCTATTTCTGGTCTCACTTCCTAGCCATGTCAGAAAGGAAATACATTCCAAACTTCCTCCCCCATCCCGAATGCACCGGACAAACAGATTCAGTTTGTAGGTAGCAGCCTTATTGGTAAATGGGAGCCAAGCCATGTAAAAGGCTTCACAGGTTAAAACCAACGCTTAGAATTTTATTTTACGTTTTGATTTTTAAAAAATAAAACTTTATCAATCACTGTTGCAATGCTCATCTAACTACTGGTAGTAGCAAATCACTGAAGCAGCTCTTACTCACCAGCAAACAGGTTGCTGCATTCTGCACCAGTTGCATTTTCTGGATAGTGAAGTATGTTGTGATTATGTGTTAGTAGTAAAATGTTGTGGCTGAAGCTGATGCATCTCAGCAGAAGCTGGTATGAGAACTGACTAATTGTGGAGATATTCGTCGCAAAAGCTTTTCTGTAGATGCTAAATATGAAGCAATTCAGGTTGGTGGGTCTTGAGATGTGAGCTTTTGGTGCAAGAACTATACAATATTTTCTGATTTCCAGGCAGATGGACTGCTGCGTTCTCCACAAACTGCAATTTCTGGGCATTAAAGTTTGTTGTGGTGATGCAGGCTTACGGTGAGGAAGGTATGAATAACTGTCACTAAGACTGTGAAGGGCTAGAGCTCATATAAGCAGAAACTAATATGAAAATTGCCTTTGACTAATTGTGGAGAGACCAGTTGCAAAGGCTCTTCTGAAGATGTTAAATATGACACAAATCAAGGGTGTGAGTTTTGAAATGTGGGTTCATGGTACAACAGTTGTACAGTAATAACTGTTTTCCAGACAGACTTTCCATACAATAATGTTTACCTTATGAAAAGGTAATAAGACATACCCTAGTGAAGTAATGATAATATGATTTGGATAATGACTGAGCTAGTTCTGGATTTCAAAGGGTTTGTGCATTTAACTTAATTTAATGTAATTCTATTTAATTAAAAGGGCTAATGCGTTCTAACTAAGAAGTGGATTAATTCTTTCACTCCAAGCACTTGAAATATGGCAGTCCTGTGTCACTGACCTTTCCTGACAAAATGGCTTCTTTTTTTTACCCCTGATAAATGGTCTGTCTCAAGCAGAAACTAAAGAGAGAGGTCACCAGATCAGCACCATGATATTAAATAACAATTCCTCCTTTAACCTTTCTGGGAGCATTCATCTGCCCTGACAATATAATTAGGAATATAATTCAGATTGCCCGAATGGAGAGAAAGAATCAATTTGGGATTTATTAAAAAGGAATAGGTACATAAAGGAAGAGTATTTGAAATGCTGGCAACTGATTAACTGAAACATTAATGTCAGCAGATTTTTGTTTTCCTGCTGAAGCTTAAAATCTTTTTTAAAATGTGGAGCAGCTTTTTTAAAGCTCTATTCTACTCCAAATTTCCATTTTTCTAAATTAAAATAATAAGCCATACGCAGCACTTTACAAGTGCCCCTGCTCCAATTCTTCAGAATTGTTATCTTCTCAAACAAGTTCTTAGTCTAGGGCAAAGGTGGGGAATGATGGCCCTTTGATGGCTTGTGGACTTCAACTGCCCGAATTCCTGAGGCAGCATGACTGGGACCATCGTTCCCCATCGTTCCCCATCCCTGGTCTAGGGCTTCACAGAGATGCCTCCCACAGGAGCAAGATCTATTTGAGAGAAATTTACACCAGATGCTCCCATCTTGGATAAAGAAGGAGACAATTGAAGACAGGCAGGCAGACCCTTGTGATGGTGTCCCTGTTGAGAAATCCCTCATCAAAGTAGGATCAACTCTCTTGAATTTCAAATGCTCAAATATTCAGATGAGAATATTTTAGACTTAAAGTCTTACGTATCGCCTTATAGTAATATTTGTTTGATTAAAACTCAGCCTCTTTAGAGTTAACAGTCTGATATTAAAACCTGTACTTCTGTGCACGGCCTATATTTCATTCTTTGGTAATGCAACACAATATTGTATGATTGAATGCTCCAAGCATAGGAAAAACAATTCCTTTATCTATTTACTTTATCAAGCAGGAAACAAGCTTGAGAACTTTCCTCTGCGGTTGTTTTTATTTACAAAGATTTTCTGAAGATTTTTTTTTCATGGAAGTTTCTATCTGCTGCCTAAAATTATCCTAGTCTGGAATTGGCTTACACCCAGGGCAGTTGGCTTTTACAGGGCTGCCATATTAATGTCTGTGTAGCATACAAGCCTTGGTGGCACAGCGGACTAAACTGCTGTTAAAGTAGCACTTATCTACCAGCTACCTGCAATTACTGCGAGTTCAATTCTCACCAGGTTCAAGGTTGACTCAGCCTTCCATCCTTCCGAGGTAGGTAAAATGAGAACCCGGTTTGTGGGGGCAGTAAGTTGACTTTGTATAAAATAGAACACTGCTTGGGGGGCCCAAAAAGCCCTACTAAGCAGGTATATACAAAAGTATGAAGGCTATTGCTTAATGCATTGTAAGCCGCCCTGAGTCTCCGGAGAAGGGCGGCATATAAATCGAACTAATAAATAAATAAATACATACATACATATATACAGTAGTGGCCAAAATTGTGGAAACTTTTTGGGAAAAGTGTATTTTCTAAAACTAGCTAATAACTTTTTTTGGGAGTAGTACCATCAAATTATATATCAATGGAAAGATAATTTAATTAAGAACGTAATGCAATAACTTTTATGAAGGATTTGCTATTAGAATAGCAGTTACAGTATAAAGAAGAAAAAGTGAAACACATAAAAAAACCGAGATACACAAAAATTATCACCATGTCAGTTAATACTTAGTTGGGTAACCTTTAGCATGAATTACGGCCTTACGTCTTCCCATGGAGTAAACCAAGTCTTTTAGTTCTGCAGCTGTTATAATGTGAAACCAAGATTGAATGATTACTTCTATTAACTGAGTTTTATTGCTGGGTTGCTTCTGACTAACAAATTTCTTTAGTCAGCTCCTTAGATTTTCAATTGGGTTAAGGTCTGGGCTATTCCCAGGCCATTCCAGCAGTGAAATCTGATCATCTTGAAACTCCAAAAAAAAGTGGTGTTATTAGCCATCAAACCTCAAAAATGCACTTTTCCCAAAAGGTTTCCACAATTTTGGCCACTAGTGTAGTTATCATTATATATTTTATATTGTTTCTGAACAAATACAAGCAAAACCTGTGTTCAATGAGAAATAAGATTGACCTTATGTAGAATTT